TATTTGTTTTTTCAGTTTTTGGACATATTTTATTGACAAATTATCTAGTAAATCCAAGGTTAACAGACAAATTAGCATTCCTTTATATAATGATAAACTTAGTTAAGAATCCTTATAAATGAGATAAATGATGACAATACTTTTTAGAGATGGTCATTTAAAACAGAATAAAGTTAATAATTTGAAAGTTACACATAAGACAGGAAGAACATTTGACTTTTAAGTCAGTGGACTCTCACTAGTGAAGTTGAAATCATTGGCTTCTGCAGATTCTCTCCATTTTAAACAGTGTTTCTAATCCAAACAATTCTATTGCCCTGGAAACTTTCTTCCAAGAGATTGAAAGAATGTATTGGGGATTTATAACCCTGAAATATTGACCAGGAAGCAAGAAAAGGAAGAGAGACCAGAGGTAACTTAAGGTTAGCTCAAGTGCTGGTTCTCCATTCCTGTCTTTTCATGAAATTCAACCAGTAGTTGTTTTGTGTTTTTAAAGTAATTGATCATTTGCTAGTCAAAAGAAGTACCATTTAGAAAAATGCTTTAGACCCAATCTAGTATTCTAGTTTTCAAAATAAAGGCATATACTTTTTAATCACTAGGAAAGTAATATAAATCAAAAATTTTTAAGGTACACAGTAGAAGAAAAAATAGAGAAAGAAAAATTAAGATTCAACATAATATTCTTGTGAGAAAGAGGTAAAGTTTTAAAAGGAAAGGCATGATCACTCTTTTCCTCCAGATTATTTTAAAAGCCTTTGTTCTCTTGTATCCCAAGAGTATACAGTTGTTAACCTTAACATTTGCCTCTTATTTATACTAGGATATTTAATTGTATATGTGGTAGTCTCTTGCTATCTCTGGGTGATTGATTCCAGGACCCCAGAGGACACCAAAGTTTGTGAGTGTTTCAAGTTTTTTACATAGATGATAAGTATTTGCATAAAGCCTGCACATATCTCTTTGTATCCTTTTAAGTCTTATGTATATTATTTGTACCTAATACAATGTAAATATTTTTGAAGATTTCTTTTTAAATTATATGTGTTTGTGTGAGTTTTTCACTTTAGATTTTACATTTAAATATGATTCATTGAGTGCTTTTGAATAAAGAAACCACAACAAAAAAATGGTATTGTCAGGGTAGTGAGATAGTAACAACCTTGATGACTAACCAGAATCTACATAGTGGAAGGAGAGCATCTACTGTGGCAAGTTGTTCTCTGACTTCCATATGTGTGCCATGGCATGCACACACCCCTTCCCCAAATTAAAAGGGTACTAAGGGGGGGGGCACTTCAACCATGATAGAGAGTTAAGAACTCCATGAACCAGACTTGAGCATAGAACCTAATTACTTTCCTAGTAATTAAAAATATATGCCTTTATTTTGAAAACTAGAATACTGGGTTGGGTCTAAAACATTTTTCTAATTTTTCTGAATTTTTTAGAAGAAAATGTGAGAAAATCTTAAGTATCTAAGTTTGGTGAAGTAGTACGCGTAGGTGTGACACCAAAAGAATGGTTCATTAAAGTGTATGTGTATATATGTTCAAAAAGCCAGTGTGTTAGAACACACCTTTAATTCTAGCGCTCTATCCTCAGAGGCAGACAGACCTTCACCTACATAGGCCAGCCAAGAACTCAAAACAGTTGAAGCCTGTCTCAAAAAAGAAAAAGAAAATAAAGTATATTTATCAACAGTGATGATACTTAGAATTATAGCATACAGTTGGAAAAAAATTCCCGTATTTTTCAGTGTTTTCAGATTCCTGGCATATTACTACTTTTTGATATCCCAGAACAATAAATCAGCATTCCCAGGTGTTCTCAGAGCTTTCAAAATTATATTTTAAACATACTTTTAACAATCTTCAGACTATATGATTTGAATAGCTAAAATTCGGATTCTTTTCCCTTACTCATTTAATGTGGTAGATGACATTGATCAATTGAGTAACTGTAAGCTTTGCCACACTTAATAAATAAAACCCTTCTTATACAGTTCTTTCACACAATGATGACTTCTTCTTTATGCCTTGGGTGTTTCAGTAGAATGAAATGAAAATGAGAAGTGCTGCCTTGTGTGCTTCCTGTGAGATTGTAGAGACAGTGGTAATCATCCCTTAAATAGCAAACCATCTGGGTTTGAAAGTGCCATAGGGTTTTAAGGTTTTTTTATTCAAAATTTAAAAGTAGCTACAGGACTATTTAAATTGTTCTGTATATTAATTAAATTCTGATATTTTGTGCCTTTTATGGAATTGGACCACTTTAGGTGTCAAATTATTGCATTCAAGTGCAAATTGTTTTCAGTATCATTTTGATGTTGACAAGGTTCACATGGTAGCCTCTGTTTCATTCCTAACATTAATACTTAAAAAAAAAGATTTATTATTTATTTCATATATGTGAGTACACTGTCACTCTCTAGACACACCAGAAGAAGTCATTGGATCTCACTTTAGATGGTTGTGAACCACCACGTGGTTGCGGGGAATTGAACTCTGGACCTCTGGAAGAGCAGCCACTGAGCAATCTTTGCAGCCTATGTTAATACTTTTTTTCTTTTGTTAATCTTGGTTCTTTGATCGTTTAAGAGGATCAGCTTTGCATCCCAGTTGATTTTCTTTTTCTTCTGGAGGGTTGTATAGGAGTCTTTAATTGTTATCTTTTATTTCCCTCCTATTGTTTACAGTTGTTTTATTAGGCTTTTCTCTGAGTTTTTAAGACTAGATTAAATTATTGCTTTGAGGCATGTCCTGTTTTCATATATATATATATATATATATATATATATATATATATATATATATATATACACACAGCCCTACAAATTTCTTTAATTAATGCATGGTATATCTGTGACCCACAAACTTTGCTAAATTGTATATTTAGCTTTACTTAGTTCTATGCATTTTTTAGGTTTCTCTTAAGATTTCTTCTTTGTCTCATGTGTACATTTGAAAGTATTCTATTTACTTTCTTGAGTTTGGAGTTTTTTCTATTGTTAATTTCTAGTTTAATTCTTATGTTCTTAGGGACCATACTTTGTAGAATTTCATTTCCTTAAGGATATTTAGTTTTGTTTTGTGTCCCAAGATATGGTCTTTCATGGTAATTTTTCAAGGAACATTTGGAAGTTGTATATGTTCTATTATTGGTGATAAGTTATTTTATAAGTGCTTATTGGATCCTGGTAGTTAATGTTATTATTATATTGTCCTGTATTCTTACTAATTTCTTTATTTAATTATACCAGCTATTGAGAAATGAGAATTGAGCTTTTCATTGTGGATTTGTCTATTTTTTATTCCAGTTTTCTAATTTTGAATAATACTTTTTGTGCCTGTGGATTATTGTCTTGTTTGTGTATTGTTTTATTACTGTGTGATTCTTCTCCTTGCTAATTTTCTCTGAGGCCAAAGTCTAGTAGTATGTATGTAGTATTAATGTAGCTACTTCTCCTTTTGTTGATTGATTCTGTGATGTATCTTTTCTCATTGTTATACTATCTACTATATTATAATGTGTTGAGTTTCTTTGAGGTAGTTTTTTATTGTTTTTTTCCTATTAGACCAGCAGCTGTCTTTTAACTGAAGAATCTTACCTGGTTAATCCCTCCTTGTCAGCATATTAAAACACTTTTCTTGTATATTAGCTTTATATTAAATGTAATGTTAACATTTCCTTTCATCTTTTATCTATGAGATGGTAACTCCAGTTACTGAATACTACTGACTTGAAAGCCTGTTTGTATTAGTATTTCTATTAGTATTTGTTTACTCATTATTTATGTAGCTTACTACTTACTGTTTATGGTTCAAGTGCTTTAATCCCAGTACTTGAGAGGCAGAGCCAGATGGATCTCTGAGTGTGAAGCCAGCTTGGTCTAACAAGTGAGTTACAGAACAACCAGGGCTGCACAGAGAATAACTGTTTTTTTAAAAAAAAAAAACATAAATAACAACAACAACACCCCAAATGCTTGTGTTTCTCCTTGTTTAATTTCCTTTGTTACATTGTCTTTAAGGTAGAAGTTGTATGGAATGCCTGAAATGTTTTTTTTCTCTAATATGATTGTTAGTTTTCTGAGTATAGAATTCTGTGTTCTGAATAATTTTCATTCAGAACATTGGAAGTACAATTTAATTTTCTTTTTCTTTTTTTTCTTTTTTTTGAGACAGGATTTTTCTGTGTAGCTCTGGCTTCCTGGAACTCACTCTGTAGACCAGGCTGGCCTCGAACTCAGAAATCCGCCTGCTTCTGCCTCCCAGGTGCTGGGATTAAAGGCGTGCGCCACCACCGCCCGGAACAATTTTATTTTCTAATAGCCATTATAGGCAGTAGATAGATGATCTAGTCTTTTCCTCAACTTATTTAAAAATTTAACATGGCAGACAGCTAGGCACATTACACATATCTGTAATCCCACCAGTTTGGGAGACTGAGGCAGGAGTTCCAGGCCAACCTGGGTTCATAATAAGGCCTTGCCACCTCCACTCCCCCATTAAAAAAAATGGAATAGTTGGTTGAAACTGAAATAGAATTGTGTTCACATTGTTATTATTCTATAGTTTTTTTTAAATAATAAGAAAAAAAAATCAGAGTGATTGAATTGAAACAGTCCTCTCCCCTGTTGTCATTTCTCAATATTTTTAGAAAATACATCATTGAGTAATGTCCAACTTGCTGAGCTGTCATACTCCTTCCACTCTTTACATGGATAGAATTTGCATTGGAATGTGACTTCCTCAAAATTTTACCTATTAAGTCTTCTTAGTAAAACAGTTGAAAATAAATTTTTTAGAGTTTCTAGTAATTTTAACTTAGATAATCTAAATATATATCTATTTTATATCCAATTTCTTAACCTTGATATTTCCAAATATGTAATTTTTGTCAATATTTTAATCTGAAATGTGTATTAACTTCATTTTTTAAAGCTACATTTCTTCCATTGTCCCTTTTATTTAGTTATTTCTGTTTTTTAAACCTAGGTTTTGTGTGGACAGTAATGACCGCACGCTTCCGATTGCCTGCTGGCAGAACCTACAATGTCCGAGCATCAGAGTTGGCCCGAGACAGACAGCATACAGAGGTGGTTTGCAACATTCTTCTTCTGGATAACACTGTACAGGCTTTTAGAGTTAATGTGAGTATCTTGTTTTTTTTTTTCTCTCCTTAGCATTTGTAATATCATCTTTGTCATCGTCATCATTACCATCTTCATCATCTCTGGATATTAATCTGAATATTAGATTTATTTTAAAGCTAACACCATTAAGTTATAGTATAATTTGAACAGTCTTAGTTAAGGAAGTCTTTTTGATGCAAATATTCCTGTTCATTCAAATTGAGTCTTTCAACAAGTGTTGTCCAGTGACTGTTCACAAAGAGCAGAACATCCTAGTTCTGAACAGATCAGTGGTCTGTGGATAATTTTATAAGATGTATGAAGGTGCCTGAAAAGAATTTCTTCTTTTAAATACCTTATGTGTTTTTAGGAAAGCCATATTTGTCCTATCTGAATATAACTTTTGTTAGACAAATATAAGTAATAAGTATTGTCTAAAAAGATTTATTCAACAAGTATTTGTTCTTGTTATTAGTGTCCAGTTTCAGTTGTTCATTGTCATTTGCGTTTCAGCTCTGTGGTATCTTAGTTCATTCATTTTCATTGCTGGATGCTGTTCTTTTGTATGAACATACCATGATGTATCCATTTTCCTATCTCTGGTTAGTTTATTTTTTTCTTGGTTTGTATTTGGATTATTTCTACAATGTACTAAGTTCTTATACATGTCTTAGTAATATATGCACGAACACACACACACCTTTTTTATTTTATACGTCAAATCTATAGGGAATGGAAGAATAGTGTTCTAAATACACAACTCCCTTTGTCCAGTCTGAACTGGTGTTAACATTTGTACATTTACCTTCTTTTTTTTCCCTGAACTTTCTGAAAGTAAGTGGTGGACACACCAGTAAGTATTTAGCATTGTGGGAGTCTTTACATTAATACAAAATCATTGTCATACTCTCAAATTTAGATTATATGTATGATACTAATTAATATGTAGTGCATATTCATATCCAGGTCTCTGCCATGACATATCATCTGTTTCCTGTTGCATCCCTTGTGTCTGTCTCTCTAGACTTTATTTTTACCTATTGTGTTCACATATACTGTGCATGGAATTTGAAGGCACACATGCCACAGTGTGAATGTGGAGGTCAGAGGACAACTTTGTGGAGCTTGTTTTCTCTTTCTGCTACTTTTGCATGGGTTTTGGTGGCCAAACCCAGATGGCTAGGCTTGTGAGGTAAATGCCTTTATCCACTCTGCCATCTTGCCAGTCCTGCTTACATTTTTTTTTTTTAATTTAAATTTTTCTGTATATTACTTAGTATGTAGCAAGGTCACTGATTTACCTTTAAAAATTCTAAATTTCATTTCATATATGAAAAAAAGTCGCAAAAGTAGTGAAAATCTTATTTTCATTACTTAGCTAACAGCTCAGTGTGTTTTCTAAAATGCTACACTTTAAATTTCTTTCGTATTCTGTCTACTAAATAGATGAAGAGTAGGTTGCCAATCAGAGTAAAAAGTAGAAAGAATTCTTCATAAATATTTCTGATTAATATAAACCATGTATCAGATAATTGATAAAGAAAATGAGGCTTTTTGTTATTGACTCATTAAAATTCTTATGGAGGTATACATTTAATCTTATTTTCAGTTAATATACATTTTTTGGTTTCTGTTTTAATTTATAGTCTGTATTTGTTTCAAAATATTATAAAAGAATTAGCTGTGTGTTTAACATCTTGCATGAATTTTTCTTAAATGAATAAATTGTTATAATTTGTTGACCATAATATCCTGTTATGCTGTTTCTCAGTGTAGTATCATTGTACTAATTTTGGGTATAGACATACTTACCCACCAGTTCCAATAGAGATATTAAGGTAAGAACTTTCATGCTAGAAAACATTCTTTGGTATTACCTCAGGTCATCAGAAAATTCAAATACCATGGAATAGTGTTTATGAGAAATTGCCTGCTGATGGGTAATATACTTTTTCCTCTGGGTACTTGGATCCAAGACACCCAAACAGAGAGAGTTGTGCTCTTTTGTGTAGGTTGTGTACATTTTAACTTAGGTGAATAGCTTCCCAGGTATATACTTTGCCACTTTTGTGTGGTAGAAACAACTAGTTGGGGATTTGACAGTTCTGATCCTGAGTTTTTCATATTTATTTATTCCCCTTGAGTCTCAGAAATACATATTGTGCCACCTAGCACTCTCTGTTCACTGAGAACACTTGTTTTCTTTGATGATGACTAAGCAGTGACTTGTGACATAATCCACTAGTCTTTCCTTTTCATATTGTGTGCTGTGCAGGGTCTAATTGTATACCTTGAGTTCTTCAGCCTTCAAAATGCTGAGATTATAGCTGTACACTACCACCCCTAGCTTCCTAAAAGACTGAAACTCAAGTGAAGTATTTATTATCACCAAAGTCTGCTTTTTCCCAACTGATAGTCATCCTGTGAAAGTTATTCTTTATCTTTTCATGAGGGAAATTGACATAATAAAGGTAATAATAAAAGTATAGGTGTAATTTTCCTGGATCTTGTTTTTTGTTATTTGTCTGCTCTGAACATAGTGAGCTAAGCCTGTAATTGGCTTATTTCCAAGTTGTAGAATTTTCTGTCCCTGTCACACTGAATTCTGTTATTTTTTTCAGTCATCCTTTCATTAAATACTTCAAAACCTGTGCATCTATACTATATAGGTTAATTTCTTTAGCTTGAGATATTCTTTCTAATTTTCTAATTTACTTTAGTATAGCAGTTTAACAGTAAATTGTGTGACAAATAAGGGCTGAGAATAACTGGCTTGTCTTTTTACTACTGTGACTGTTAGTGGCATACAACTACCATTTATTATTATTGAGGATTCCCAGAGGTGGCTGATACCTGTTTCATTATAGATCAGAGCTCAGCTGGAAGTCTTTTTAGGCTGGATTGTAATCATTTGAAGGCTCATTCACTCATGAGCATTCTGAAGACTCAGCTGCTGCTGAGGCATCTGTATGTGACCTCTCTGTTTACACTGGACTTCATAGCACAGCATCTGGTTTCAGGAGGTGAACATTCTGAGAGACAGAGAGAAGGAGAGGGGGAGGGGGAATATTGTAACCATATTGCTTTTCCAAACTAACCTTAGGAGTTACTTAAGGTTACTTTCACCCTGTTGTGCTTGTTGTGATTATCACTAAATCATACCCAAGAGTCAAGGAAAGGTCAGTAGACTTCTCTTGATAATAAGCTGCAGGATTCTGGAGGATCATGTTGGTTCAGAAATACTGCTGTGGACCAACTAGGAAAATGTGTTCCACCATGGCCCACTGTTAGAGGCATTCTTCTTGCCCCAACCGTCTTACCACTTACTGACTTCCATCCATTTTACCTTGTCGTTTTCTCCAGATCTGCCCCCTGCTTCTTTGTGTTACATGAATTGTTTATCTTTGTACGCTAATAAAGTATATCTGTATATGTATGATTTGAGTTATATATATTTTATTTATGTTTAAGTATAAATGTGTGTTGATAGATATGTGTGGTTTTATTTGGAAAAACTGAAAGATTAAACTTTGTTAGAATTTATTCAACATACATTGCTTGACATAAAATTCAGAGATGCTTCACAGGTTCCAATATTTACTTTTATCTTTTTAGCATTTTGAGATAGAATTTCACATACTAGCTCAAGTTACCCTGGAACTTAAAATATGCCCAGGCTGATCACAAAATTCATTTAATCCCCACCTCAGGTTCCTGCACGTTCATATTATAGACACAAGCCACTATAACAAGTATTTAAAGAAAAGAGAACAAAGCTTGTGAATTGAAATTTCTTTTTCATGTTTTATTTTTATCTGATTTGTATTTTTTCTTAATTTATTTCTTAAAGATGAAATTGTCTTAAAAGGAGGTTGTTACGACAAACTTGTTATGCTTACTGTCTGCTCCTGTAGCACTGCCTATTTCACCTCACAGATCTCCCATTTGCTCACAAAACTACATATATAATAAGACATATTTACATAACAATATGTAATCAGTAATAAATACATAGCAATAAATACTAATAAATAAATGTCAATTATGTCTGAGGAGTAACAAAGCAAGGACCTGTTTGTTTTAAACTCTAGTTTTGTTAATTATGTCCTTGACTAAATCTACAAATGTTTTACATTACATGTAAAGGGTATTTTAAAAAGGAATTAATGTGGTGCTTGAGAGATACCGCAACAGTTAAGAGTACTTACTCCTTTTGCATAGGACCCAAGTTAAGTTCCTAGCATCCCATATGGAATCACAACTGTCTGTGACTCCAGTTTCGTGGATGATACCTTTTCTGACCTCTGAGATCCCCCACATGTCCTCGAGCACACGCATGTGTGCGTGCACACACACACACACACATGTGCACTAAGAGTTATCACTTAATACTTTTCATTTTATCACTCTAGCCAAGACTGCTGGTTACTTTCTTCTTAGTCAGTATTTTCTTACACCAGTGTTTAGGAAATGCCCATGAGAACAAAGCCACTGTAGAACTCGGTTCATCTGGTTATTTTATCTCAAGGATTATAGGTTGTCTATTGACTGTTTAAATACACATGTATGTATGTATGTATGTATGTATGTATGTGTATATATACACCACATATATCCTATCCAGCTTTTGTAGGAGATTGTAACAGGACAGTATTTCAATACCAGCTACTCTATTTAACCAATGAAAATTAAAAAAGGAAAGTCTTGATTGCTTTAAAATATAAGATAATGTCATTGTATGATAATGGGCTTTTTTTTTTACTTGAAACATTTAATATATTGTTTTCAGAGATCCAGTCTTAATTTGAATAATATAATTGAGTGAATTAGAAGGACTCGTGTCTCACTGATACCTACCTACACACATCTTATAGAATCAAAATGGTCTGAAGTACACTGATTCGATAAAGATGTAAAATGATACTTGATTTCCAAAGATGAGACCCAAGCACCTGGGCCATTGATGAGTTTGATATTTTAAATTTCTACCAAGTAGTCATTTACCAGATTTGAGATAA